AGTAAAGAAAGGGAAGCGATTTCTCATTTTGATGAGGTAATTGTTCCAAAGAAATCATATGACTTGAATAAGGTTTCCAGATATTTGCACCAAAAAGATCTGTTTTTTTTAAAGGTAGATACAGGTGGTGCAGTGGTCATCATGGAAAAGTTAAGTTATATAGAAAAAATGATGGTTCATTTAAATGACTCATAAACTTACAGCCTTTTAGTAAAGGATCGTACAGAGAGTCTTAAGGCCAGACTTAGGAAATGGCTTAACGTTGGTGTAAGCAGAGGAGCAATTGAGAAGTGAAAATGAATTCACTTCTTTAGAGGGATGCAATGGCATCTTCGGCTTACGGCCTTTCTAAACTACACAAGGAAGGAGTTCCTTTAATATTTTTTATTAATAAAAAGGGTACTGTGATGCATAGGATCTCACGTTTCTTATGTAGACAACTAACTAAATTGACTGAGTTTCGGAAATATTTAGTGAAGAATTCATATGAATTTGCTAGATTAATAGATCAACAGAGTACTAAAGAGGATGATCTTTTGGTTAGTTTTGATGTGGTATCAATGCATACTAACATCCCAGTTCATTACGCTATTGAAGCACTTACAATCAGCCTAGATGAGCTCCGAGAAATTATTGCGGAGGTAAATCTGAGCAAAAACTCAATCTTAAGGCTTCTTAACCTATCCATTAGCAGCACATATTTCACCTTTAGCAATGGGATCTTCTCATAGTCACAAAATAAGGTTTGGAGTTTAAAAATGTATGAGTATTCGGAGCATAAAACTAGCGGATAGAGACCACTGCGACATTGAACTGAATCGGCTTAAAATAATATTTCTTGAGAATAATTATCCGCTGGGATTGATTGAAAATAACATTAGATTAATAAAGAATAGCTTTTCAAATGGTGAATACGCAAGGAGAGATGAGGAGACCTTTTCTCATGTTTTGTTTTTACCTTCGTGAATTCTCTTTAAAAGCAAAAGTAAACAAGTAAGGAAGTGGGGAATAAAAATGGTCTTCAGATAAACTACGACACTTTCTTCAGTTCCGCCCACTTTTAGAGAGAAAGTTGACCCATTCTGCAGATCGGGTTGCTACAAAATAATGTGTTCATGTGTTCGCTTTTATGTTGGAGGGACTTATCGTCCCATTCGACAAAGGGTGGCTGAGCACAAAAGCGCCTGCAAAGACTGTTTTGTTAAAAAAACCGAGCTTGCTGAGCACAGGCCGGAAACGGGTTACGAGATTAAGGCTTTGCTGATTAAGGCGTGTCTGCGACTAAACGTCGAATGAGAGAAGCCATCGAAATAAACCGAATAGAATACATTTTATATAAGGAATACCGGCAAGAAGATAAGCAAAAATTACTTGTGCTTAATTAATAGACTGAAGGAAAGAGAGGGAGTTGAACTGCCTGCAAAAAGTAGACGACGCAACTAGTCTTTTCTTGTATTGTTTCTGATCATAGTCACTTCTCTGTACTTTCAGCTCAATCTGTCTCTCCCGCATTAAGATTAAAAACCACAAAAAGTCTCATCGACAAAAGCAGACGTGTGTTGATCTTGCACAATCGGAGTGATGGCTTTAACGTGTATGTAGAAAGGTGGAAATAGTGGTCATGGAACCTTGAGGCCCGAAGACAGACTTTAGTTTTGTTGTTCTAATTACTTTGATCTATCTCTTCGGGTGTTGTGCATAAATGAGCACAAACATACACATTCACATACAGAGACAGACACACTCACAGGCTTCGAAGTTGACATATGACATTAACTAAACAAATCACTTTATAATTGATCAAACAGGCCAGATGTAGATTATATATACCACTTTTTAGGGATTTTCCGGTGAGTTTTCTTGACTCGTAAGCTTGAATTATGTTGTGACGATGATACTTTGCTCTGATCATGTTCGTCACATGACGGACGAGAGGTTAGCAACTTTTCACCGGAATCGAAAGACATTACCTCCGAAACAGCGTCAGCATGAATGTTCCAGTAAAGCCAATTGACTGCTGGTTAACAGGAATCCGCTGTCGTCTTATGGTGAAATCGACCTTCGATTCTATTCACCGAACACTTTCATTCGAAATGGT